ACGTTTCTTTTTTTTATATTTTTTCTTTTTTTTTTTTTAGATTATTTATTATATGTGAGTACACTGTAGCTGTCTCCAGACACCCATATGAGGGCATCAGATCTCATTGCAGATGGTTGTGAGCCACCATGTGGTTGCTGGGATTTGAACTCATGACCTCTAGAAGAGCAGTCAGTGCTCTTAAACGCTGAGCCATCTCACCAGCCCTGCTATAAACGTTTCTAAGTAATTGAAGTTTCTATGTCTTGTCCTGGATTAGTGAAATGTTCATGCATGAGCACTTTAGTCTGTGCACCGCATTTCCAGCAGCCCTGCCTCAGAGCCGTCAGCATCGGTATGAGGACAGCCCAGTAGGAATTATGACCTTGCTAAGTTGTTGGCAGCAGGAGTGGAGTGAAAGACATGGATTCTAAAGACATGTGGAGGTGTGAGGGGAGGCACACGAGACAATTGGATGTGGCTTTAAGCTTGAGTGGGGAAAAATGCAGAAGCAGAAACAGGAACAGATTTGGGAAAAAAGCAGCTAAGTTGTTTTCATCAAAAAGTCTGCATTTATGCCCCGGCAGTGGTGGCTCACACCTCTGCCTCCTCACTTGGGAGGCAGAGGCAGGGGATCTCTAAGTTCAAGGCCAGTCTGGTCCACAAAGTGAGTTCCTGGACAGCCAGGGCTACACAGAGAAACGATGTCTTGAAAAACAAACAATCTACATTATAGCATGTTTTGTTTCTGTTTTTGTCTCGTTCTGTAGCTCAGGCAGTTCTCTTGCCTCAGCCTAAGTGCTGACGTTTGCAGACATGACACTAATTTATTATGTTTCATAGTTTCAATTTGCCCTCTTAGATGCACTTGGAATATTTTCTGCCAGCAGTTTGAATGCATCACGGCAGCTGCTTACAGTGAAAATAGATGTCTGCGAGCCTTTTACAGTTGAGTCTGTCCTCACACTTGTTGTTGCAGTAACTGTTGTTGGGCACTTGGCCAGGAAACTGTGACTCCTAAGCAAAGGGAGGAGTTACAGATATGGTTCTCCATGCCAGAGAAATTCTATTCCAAATGGATTTGTGTGGAGCAACAGTGATATCCAATGACAAGTTAAATTAGACACAGAGGTGTTTTCTCCCACACTGTCTCAGAAGATACATGGTGTCGAGGGAGCCTGGTGCAGGCTAAACAGTCTTTTAAAAGTTAGGTTAACGTCACACACACTAAAAAATTGTTCTAGGGATTTCAAGAAGAATCTTGTTATGTGACTTCAGAAACTACCCAGATAGTTTCAGTTTGCAAAACGGAAACCAGTGACAGATGAGGTAATTCTGCTTTGAATTATAGTCAGATCCAAGCCAGTAGATTGCTGTTTACAGAATTTCAAATATAGTAAGTTGCATGTTTATGTTAAATCTGAGATTCTTAGATCCATATTCTTAAAATACATTATAGTAATGATTTTATTTCTTGCAGCTAATATCTGTATCTGAATAGAATTTCTTCAGGCTTTTTTTTTTGCCTTACTGCTGTGGGATATGATAGTAAATACTGTTAAAGGTGTTTTTCCTGGAGTCTGTGTTTAGTTTTACAGTGTTCCTGTGTATGTAGCTCCTAGAAATTGTTTCTCCTGTTAATCCTCAGATTGTCAGCTCACAGTTCTTATCTATGGGAATTCTGAATGATAGTTGGATTTATGATTCTGCTTTATAATAATGCCTAGTTTAGTCATGATGTTTTGAGTGATAATTACATGTTTTAAAGCATGCTTTAATTTTTACAGATATGTTCATGCTCTTGAACATACGTGAAATTAATTATTCTACTAGTTTAATAGTTTAGCAAGACCATAGTAAACTGCATAGGCAGATCGGCAGAAAGGTCTTGGTATTCGTAGAAAAATTTGATTTTCCCAAGTATGTAAATTTGTTTTGAAATATGTGGGTCAGTGAGCTTTTCTTTCTCTTAATACCTTGTAGTTGACATAATGTCTTACACTGTGTAAACTCAGTAGGAAACAGCTTTAGTCTCAGACTGAGAGATGAGTGTCTGTTGGAGTCTGCCCTGCCTGAGATGTGTGAGGTCAGGGTTAAGTTTTCTCCTGTGCCAAAGGTCTCTCTGTGAGCATTGGGTATTTAGTATGTCTGTGAAGCTTAGCATACACATCAGTAACTGTGCTTGGCTTCGTTCTCTATAACAGCTATTCCTTTGGTTATTACAGCCTTGCTTACACAGCAAATTAGATTTCATTTCTGTATACCTCTTTATGTTCATAGTTTAAGTTAGGGAAAGAAAAGGAAAGCTGGAGAATATGGGTGAGGTTTTCACATAAAGATCATGACAACATTGAGGAGGGCATAGGAGTGGTGCTCTCCTAAGTTTAGGAGGTGATTCTATGAATTAGTGTACTTGCTTTGAATGAAAAGAAAAAGGATATTTGATGCAAGTTTTTCATAAAACGTATTATTACCTAATTAAAATCCTTTATTAATATATTGTGTGTACATGTCTGTGTGTGAATGTGTGTATGTGGGAACTCATGCCACCGCAGGGACTTGGAGAGGTCAAAGGACAACTGAGCAAGTGAGTTCTTTGATGGTGTTCCTAAGTTGGCATGCTTGTCAGCAAGAGCTTGGACTTACTTGCCAGATCTTATTTTCTAATCCTAAGAACAGTTAAAGTTTTGTAGCTCTGACTATTCCCTAAGGCTATTCTGTATTTGTCACAAAATGAGACGTGTACTGTAGCACACATGCAGTAAATGTTGATCGAGTGGGTAATGTGATTAGTTAAGTCAAAGATGAGTGAGAAATGCAACTTGATGGATATTTAGCCGTGATTATTTTGGCAAAAATAGATTTTCATATTTCTGAAGTATGTTATTCCCAGCATTAGCAAGGGTTCCTTGTTCTTGCTGTCTTTTGAAAATGTGTTTGCTTTGAAAGATTTCCATGGCTATGCAGTGCAGTTTTTTTTTTTTTTTTTTTTTTTTTTTTTTCTGACCAAGAAAAGAACTTTGCTTTGAGACATTTCTTCTACATTAATGTCTCCCTTGCTATTTCAGCTGCATCTAAAGCCAGCTAACATCTTCTATCAAAATTGAAGCTGCTTTTAAAAAAAAATTATGTAGTCTTGTACCTCTTTCTTAAGATATATAACGTGGAAGAAAAATCTTCCTCATCTCATCCCTGCTTGCATTCCCTGAGAGTATTTTAGGCACATCAGCTGTTGAGGCTCTGAGCAACCTCATCCAGTCGGCCCCTTGCCTGTTGAAAAGCCTCAGCGGTACTTGGAGCTTTCGGTTTTTAAGAGTTAGAACCATTATTTTGTGTCTTTTTCCTCTGTTGTTTTCAAAAGGATTTATGTAAGTGGGGGTTGTCAGTCGTCAAGTAGATTTTGCTGTCAGCGAAAAAGCAGGATAAAACTTGAGAGGAGCCAAGTACTTTGTGTGTGTGTGTGTGTGTGTGTGTGTGTAAGTGTAAGGGTTGTTGCTTTGTGATAGAGTGCTTGATGTGCAAGCCCCGTGTTTGCTTTTCTAGCACTTCAAACCAATAGAAATGAACTAAAAGGTTTTTTTGTAGGTTCTTTTTTTTTTTTTTAGGTTTTTCGAGATAGGGTTTCTCTGTGTAGCCCTGGCTGTCCTGGAACTCACTCTGTAGACCAGGCTGGCCTCGAACTCAGAAATCCGCCTGCCTCTGCCTCCCAAGTGCTGGGATTAAAGGCGTGCGCCGCCGCCACCACCACCCGGCGGTCCTTTTTTCTTTCAGCTTTTTTCCCCCTTACTATACTTAAGTCAAGATGAAATAATGATTTTCCAAAAACTAGGTTTTTAAAAAAATTATTTACATTCCAGGCATTGTTCCCCTCCCATGGTTCCTTATTCTATGCCCCTTCCCCTGTCCTTTGAGAGGGTGCTCCCCTCCACAGGCCTCCCCTGTCCTCTGAGAGGGTGCTCCCCCTCAACAGGCCTCCCCTGTCCTCTGAGAGGGTGCTCCCCCTCCACAGGCCACCCCTTTCCCTGGGGCCTTGAGTCTCTGGAGAGTTAGGCACATCTTCTCCCACTGATGCCAGACCAGGCAGACTAATGCTGTCTATGTTCTGGGGGCCTCGGACCAGCCCATGTATGCTGCCTCGTTGGTGGGTCAGTGTCTGGGAGCTCCCTAGGGTCTGGCTAGTTAAGACTGCTGGTCTTTCTATGGGTTACCCTCCCCTTCAGCTTCTTCAACCATGGGGTCCCTGACTTCAGTCCAATGGTTGGGTGTGAGTATCTGCATCTCTCTCAGTCAGCTGCTGATAGTGTCCTCTCTGAGGACAGCCATGCTAGGCTCCTGTCTTCAGTTTCTTCTCCATTTTTCTTCTTCTGTAGTTCTTCTAGACAGGAACAGTTCTGGGCCAGAAACTTTGACTGGATTGGTAACCCTGAGACAGACTTTCTCTGTGTAAACTTGGCTAACCCAGAAGGACTATGTAGATCAGTGTGGCTTCAGGTTCACAGAGAGCTGCCTGCCTCTACTGAGTTAAAAGGTGTTTGCCACCACACCTGCCCCTTTCCCTCCCCCCACCAAAGAATTTTAAATTTTCTTAAGGGAAGTATAAATATTTTATGTAACATTTCTTTCAAAAACTAACAAACTTACTGAGCTAACCTGTGTGTAGTAGCAGTTACATCTATGAGATGACTACTGGGGACCAAGCAACTTGCAACATGCCGTGCAGTTATTATAAAATGGACAGTTTAAAGAAGAACACGTTTGCAAAGAATTACTTAAAATAATTCAGTTGAAGATGCAACACTATCATTTTTTTTCTCTGAAAACATAAAAACCATTTGTATCTCATTGGTTCCCAATAGTCACTGTGTATATGTAATATCAAGTCATCTGTTAAACACCATAAATATATACAATACCATAAAGTCAGTTGGGAAAATAAAATAAATGTCAGTATAGAAAAATAGTAAAATAACTTCATTAAACTTAAATGTTAATCAAGATACAATTTTCTTATTCTTTTATAGGGTGTTTGTGAACCGAAGTTTAGCCATGGAAAAAATAAAGTGCTTTGGTTTTGATATGGATTATACCCTTGCTGGTAAGTAATAACTTTTGAATTCTCAAGAACTGCTGATCTTGATACAACATAGTGGATCTACAAGGCAGAGTTCAATAGTCACTTGTTCATGCAATCATTTTATTTGGCTGCAAGAAGCTTTTGTTGGATTGTTTTTCCATTGAGATATGTGAACACTGAAGTTACCCAGTATTCTTGAGAGTTGGTTCCTGAGCTTGTAAAAATAATTACAAAAAGTCCTAACTTACTTTAAAACTCATGTAAAAAAACCTTTTTACTAAAATTATAGATTAATGAATACATTAATGTGTGTATTTGGGCATTTTGGGCTCTAATTCTTTTAAGCTGTTTTTCAAAAATAGAAAAAACCTTTTTCTGAGCAGGTGTCACACTATGCTGCTCTAAGCTGACCTAAAACTCATTCATGCAGGCTGTCCTGGAACTTACTCATGCAGGCTAGTCTGGAACTCATGTAGGCTGACCTGGAAATGAGTCATGTAGGCTGGCCTGGAACTCAGTCATGCAGGCTGGCCTGGAACTCAGTCATGCAGGCTGGCCTGGAACTCAGTCACACAGGCTGGCCTGGAACTCAGTCACGCAGGCTGGCCTGGAACTCATGGAGGCTGGTTGGAACTTGCATGGATCTTTTGCAGCTGCTTCCCAAGTGTTAGGATTATAGGCATGTGTCACAATACCCAACTTAAAGATGAATTTTTAGATTTTTCACTCTGCCATAGAGTTAATTATTAAAGTTGTAAATATTTTATTATTATGGGATTGGGAGGGTGTTAGTGCTTGGATTGCAGGCTTGAACCACCATACCTAGCAACATTTTTTTTTACTACCAAATATTTCCATGGTTGTTCTATTGTAGTGCTAGGAAACAAACCTAGGACTTTGGTCATGCTAGGAAAATCCTGCATAATGTTTTACTAAAAACATTCTTTTCTAAAAGAAGATTTGTTTTATTTTTAATTATGTGTGGATGTATGTGTGTGAGTATTATCTATATGTGTGTATGAATGCAGGTGACCACCACAGAGAGCATCAGATCCCCCAGAGCTGGAGTTAGTGATGGTTGTAGACCTCTTAACTTGAGTGCTGGGAAGAGAGTTCAGGTCTTCTGAAAGAGCAGTGCATACTCTTAACTGTTTAGTCATCTCCCTAGCCCATTCATACTTTACTCGTGGACTGATAGGACATGTGTTCATTTTCTATACAAAAGGCTTTTTTTGACTGGAGGTATTAGCTTTGCTCATTATTACAGTCTCCTTAAAAGCCCAGCATTGTGCTCTTTCTTCCCTTCTGTCTCTGAGATAGAGTTGAAATAGCCAGTGTGTCAATCTGTAGTACATCTCTTCAGAAGTTAAAACATTGGCAACATTGTCAGGATTTTATGTAAGTAGGCTTGAGTGATCAGGATGAGCACCTGTGAATGTGTTTAACACATACAGGTGCAGTTACAATACTCTGGAAAAAATATTCCATAAATTCTTTTAAAGAATTGTCTTTAGCTAGATGTGGCAGTGTGAACTTATAGCCTCAGCACTTAGGAAGCTAAGGCTGAAGGATTGTTTGTCCAGAAGTTTGAGATTATCTTGGGCAGGCATAGTGAAGCCCTCTTAAAAAAAAAAAAAAAAGAAAAAGTTAAATACACAAAACTTTAAAATGTAAGAGTTGCTTTCCTTAATGATTGTCATGAAAAGTAACTGAGTAACTTTTGACATTGTAAAACACACAAAAGCAAGACAAACAAAAACTCATGTCTTTGAGGTTAGGAGACTTTTCATTAGAAGATGTGCTTTGGGATACAGGGGTAAAATAAAGAGGAGTGTACTCATGTCTCTTTAAGACGTGAGTGTGTGGGAGAAAGGTAGGTAGGTAGGTAGGTAGGTAGGTATGTCCGTATTTATTATCTATTTATTTCTGAGACTGGGTGAGTCTTGCTGTCTGACTTGGCTGGTCTTGAGTTTATTCTCTTCCCTCAGCCTTCTCAGTGCTGGGATTACAGGTATGTGCTTGGCATACTTGGTATGAGTCTGTATTCTTTATGAGTTATTTCCTATACAGTTCTGACACTTGGCAAATCCCCTCAGAGCATTATAATTTTTGTTTACATGTATGGGTACTTTGCCTACATGTATGTCTCTGTACTACATGAGTGGCTGATGTCTAGGGAGGCTAGAAGAAGGTATCAGATACCCTGGAACTAGAGTTAACATACTCTTAAGAGCTGCCATGTTGGCTCCTAGAAATCAAACCTGGTGCTTCTGGAAGAGCAGCAAGTGCTCTTTACCTCTGTTGGCTCTGGGCCATTTGTTTGCTTTTAAGACAGGGTCTTACTGTATATCCTACAGCTTAGTGCACTGAGAACTCATTAGCTTGTAGCTTTGAGTGCAGTTCAAGCTGGACTTGGAATGCCCCTGCCTCTGCTTCTTGAGTGCTGGGATTACAGGTATGCTACCAAACAAATCCTAATTGTAGCTTTGGATAATCTGTTTATTTTGGTTTGTCAGTGTTTCAAGAGCAAGAGTTTTTCTTTTCTCATGTATATTCTATGTTTAGTGTATGTTTAGTGAAAGATGTATTATATGGTAGCTGCTAAATACATGCTGACTTTGGATGCACGTGTTCTAGTCTCTTAGAATCCTCTAGTCCGATGGTTCTCAACCTGTAGGCCACAGTCCCTTTGGGGGTTGCATGTCAGATATCCTGTATATCGTTAGATTTACATTTTGATTTGTAACAGCAGCAAAATTACAGTTATGAAGTAGCAACAAAATAATTCTATGGTCGGGTCACTACAACAGGGAGAGCTGTATTAAACTGCATTAGGAAGACTGAGAACTGCCGTTCTTTCTAGTCTATTTGAATCCTCAACTTCTGTTCTTTTTTCCAACTTTTCTAATGAGACGGCTCCTTTATGTTACTATATGAATTAGTGAAAATCAAACCATAGACAAGAAAACCCCACCAGTACAGAGAGTGCTGTGGAGATGGCTTAAGTCAGTACAGTGCTTTCAATTGAAGCCTGAGGACCTGAGCTTACATCTATCTCCACAACCCATATAAAAACATTGAACATAACTGTTGGCTTGTAGTCTAAGCACTGGAGAGGTGGAGAAAGGAGGGTCCACAGGGCTCACTGGTCAGCCGGCCTCCTGAATAGCTCCAGGCCGTTTGAGACCTTGTCATATAAAGCAAGGTGGAAGGTTCTTCTGCACCATGCTGCTCTTCTCAGAGGCCAGCCTGAAGATGTAGCCCCTCGAAGCTCCAGGTTGCTGGCAGGTAGACTTTGGAGCTTTGTTGTCATGGCAAATAAGTGTGGCACCCAGTGTGGATCCTGTGTGTAGGTGTCTAACATCTTTGATGAGCCTCAAGGCTGTGAAGATTCATGGCAAAACACTTCTTCCAGGTGGAATCCAGGATAAAAGTGAAAAGAACAGACCATCTTTGAAATCTCTGAAAACCAGTAACAGGCCAGAAGAATCCAAATAAAAAGTCAGTTTGAAAAAAAAAAAGAATTTTCCTTGACTTGCTCTTGTCACCATATCTGAAAAACATTGAAAAGACATAAAGGATCTTGGAGAGTGAATCTCTCACCAAAACTACCAGTTTTCTTATTTAAAATTAAAGAGAAGCAAAGAGTGCACAAACATTGGGTCAGTTTTCTCCCGTACCAAGTTTAGACTCTGCATAGACTGCAGAAGACTTACCCTAGCTGTCATGGCAGCTCCTGTAAGTCTTCAGTGTTACCACATGCCTTATCATAGGAGACTCTTCACACTGATGACATTAGATGCCACACTGAACAAAGAGTTGCACACACTCAGGTACTTATGAGAGATGAGGCAGGAGGAGCTGGTGTTGGAATAGAGAAGGCAAGAACAGGATGACTCAAAACCCTTTTTTAAAAGTTGAAGATGTGAGCTAGACTTAGACTATTTTACCTTCAGCTGACCAGTATGCATGTAATAAACTGTCTACCCAGAGACCAGTCCATCTGATGAGATAGACCATCGAGTATCCAAAGGCACGCAGGCTAAACTTAGAATTAATATGGATGACACTAAATACGGCAGAGCCCAGATCAACTCCAGTTGAGGGAAAAGAGAAAGGAGATGTTGTGAGTGTTACCTATAAAATATGAAGATCTTGAAACTAGGAAATAAAAATTTATACTTGAGATTGATATTTTTTAAGAATCTTAATGCTTTTATGCTTAAGTCTTACCATTCTAATTGTAGTTTACCACATAATTATGAATACTAAATTCTTTGATAGTGTCCCCCACCCCTGAGTTAGAACCTCCAGGATCCAGGTGTGGCTTCAGTAGCTCCAACTAGTAACTCTAGGTCTTTGGGGATTGGGGTGGAGGTGGGGGACAGGTCTTTTCTGAAGGTCATTGGCCAGCCATCCCCACCAGTAAGTGAGCTTCAGTGAGGTCATTACTCCTCCTATAAAGGCACTTGTTAGATAAACTTAGAGAGGTCTGAATTCAATTTCTGCAGCCTATATAAAGATGGAAGGAGAGACTTGACTTCACAAAGTTGTGCGCATACACACACACACACACACCAAATATAAATAAGATTTAAAAATAAATATAAACAAAGAAAGTAGATGGTTCTTGAGGAACAACACTCAAGGTTGACCTATGAACTCCACGCATATGTCCACACACATGTGCATTGCACACACCTGTACTTCCACCTGCTTATTCTCATGACCTATATACACATGAACAACACACAGAGACAAAAACAGGCAAACAGACTGACTACTGGGATTTTTATTGGGATTACCTTATTATAGATGTATTAAGTCTGTTTAATCTATGTACATGTTATATTTTTCCATTTATGTAATCTTTATTTATAAATGGTTTATGACTTTTTAAATTTTTTTTAAGATTCATTTGCTTTATGTATATGAGTACATTGTCCATCTCTTCATACACCCCAGAAGAGGGCATCAGATCCTATTACCGATGGTCATGAGCCACCATGTGGTTGCTGGAA